AATGAAAACAAAACTCAGTCTGTTCCTTCCAGGGAGATCCAGGAAGTTCCATGCAAAAATTTGAAGGTTCTTCCTCTTATTACCAGGAGGATGGATTTCTGGGTCTTTGTTTTTTGTTTTGTTTTTGGTCACTCCCCTTTTCAGTTGTTCCCCACCCTTTGAACTAGATTTTTAGATAGAAATGCTTCAAAGGAAAGTAAGAAAGCATTCTACCTCCAGTTGTCTAAATCCAATCCACGGTAATTTTTTTAACAGATTAAATCTGTAATTTCCTAAAAGGGCAAAATAATTAAAATTCAATTAAAATTATAATTAAAATTTAATGTTGGCATAAAATCTTTAAAAAATGCGCTGTTAAACTTGCCTTTGGAAATTGTGGGAGTTTCATCACTTGAGACTTTCAAGAAGAGATTGGACTGCCATTTGTCAGAAATGGGGCAGGGTCTCCTGCTTGCGTGCGGGGTTGGACTAAATGACCTACAAGGTCCCTTCCAACTGTTTTAATCTGATAAATATAAACGAGCATGTAGAAAAAGGAGCAGCTGTTCTCTGCTACTTTATGTTAGATTGGACAGGTGAAAGTCATGCTGGATTCCTTCTAGCAGTAGAATGTCTAAACAAAACAGGAATCTTCCCCATCCCGTGGTCAGTATTTCTAGGGGCAGGAAGACAAATTAGAAAAAAAAATGTGATCACATCACACAATTGCTGCAGCTTAGATTTATTGGCATCAGGATGCAATTATATAATCACAGCACTTTTGTGGTCATGTAACAAGATACTGGGAGCTCCACCTGTGGTTTATTCAGTGTTACTTGCATAACAGAACCTTTGCTTTGCTTTTCCCAAACAAGCCAATAATTGGAAGTTAGAAACAAAGCCCTGACTTCTGAGTTTGGCTTATTAGAATAGAATAAAGTAAGTGATCCTGGGACATATATAATGTTAAGTAAAATGTAGAAAAGAACACCTGTTGGGTTTCACTTAGTTCAAAAATTAACAGCTTCTTTTTTAGGGAAGAATTCTATTTTTTTCCCACCCTTTTCCAAATGCCACGGGGAGAAGGGTATATAGCAAAGCAGTCAGCTGCTTGATCCCTTTATCCATTGCAGAATTCTGATATTAATGTAAAGGAAAATAAAATCTGCAGAGCTTTGATGCATTTTTTTGCCAAGTGCTACCACATTTTTATGTTTTGCTGCTGAAATTCAAAAGTATGATTTATGGGATTCTGGGGTCATAAGAATAAAGGATAAAGTAAACATCACACAAATCTTAACTATATTAAGGTAGGCAAAATAAGTAAAGCAGTGAATAACTTTCTATTAGAATCTCAGCATAATGGTCATCTTTCATATATAAAAAAACCCCATTATATTGGTTTTAGGACATTTTGGGTTTCACCTCTGTTTTTTATTATGCCCAGCAGTGCTCAGAAAGGTAATAAAACTCTTTAAGCATTAGAATGGTATATTTAGTTTTNCATTCACTTATCACAAAATCTCCAGAACCGTAAAGCTTACAAACTGGAAATTTGGCACGTATGTTCCTCTTAGCTTCTAGGTGCTTACTAAGAAAGGGTTTTTCAAAATGACCATCAGATCATTAGTATTTCTTATACAGTAATTAACACGCTCTGATGCTAAGGAGTTAGGCATTCTACTCCCCCTCCCCATCTGAAAAGAACTCAGTTCCAACTTCCAGTTGCCTCACATTCCATTACTTCAGTTCAAACTGACAGATGTTCCACTCCTTTACCCAGGAGCAGTCTGGAGCTCCTTACAATACTAAATGTCGGTACCTCACCAAAATGTCTACACCTTCCATCTATGGAACTGCTTCCGGACTTAAGGTGGCAGGAGTGATATTCCCTTATTGTTTCCATCACCAACCACCACTGAGCCAACGGATTGTGAACCAAATGCCCCCTGCATAGTCCAATCACATAGTTTCGTTGCAAAGCATGGGTATCAAGCCAGTGAAATTATATATTTGCAACTCAACAGCAACTTCAATTATTTCCTTCATTTTTGGTGAACACCATATTTTAGAAATAGCTTCTGCAGGCTGAGATCAATGTAAATAAATAATTATATATATGTAACAGGCCTTTCCCCACACTTAAATTCAGTGTACTTAGCCTGATTGAGTATTAAGCTTGGAAATTTCTTTTTTTTTCAACTTGAGTTAATGAAATATTTTGTTGAATGGTATGTATACTCCACCACCTAGTGGTAAGCGTTCCTGGTGAATGAATACAAACAAATCTAGCACATTTGTTGTAGTTATATTTTTTTTAAAAACAATGGATTTTCCATGGATTATACACTCTGGCCCATTGTTATCTATATACCAAAATTTGCAAAAATCTAACAAAATTTGTTTTAAATTTCAATTTTGCAATTTTTTTTTTAATAAGGGTTGCTTTTTGCTTAATTCCTAACAAAGCCACTTTCTTACAGTCTTGCATCTGACCAGACTCTTACTCGCCAAGTACCAAGCCATTCTGTATCTTTTCCTGAAAATTATCATACTTTGCCAAAGAATACTAGGCAATCTTCTGGAAGCTCCCCTCCCTCAAATCGTGATTTGCCAAGTGACTACAAATATGCTCAAGATCGGGTAAGCCACCTGAAGATGTCCCATGATGAGAGAAAAGCTAACAAAGATGGTACTGTTTGGCAGCTGTATGAATGGCAACAAAGAAGGCAGTTTAAACACGGGAGCCCAACCGCACCTGTTTATATTAGTTCTCCGGACTTCACAGATAGTAGTAAGGGAAGAAGTTCATTAGACGTTCCACGTTCAGTTTCGGTTCCCCCTTCCCCATCTGAAATACCTCCACCAGGACCACCTAAAGTTTTTATATCCCGAAGACCACATACACCTGCAGAAAGGGTTACTGTCAAACCAGCTGAGGAGAGACAAACGATAGACGTTCCTTTTGTTGGCTCACCAAGGAAGATTCGAAATCAGAGTGTAAAAGTGAGTAAATAGAAAAAAAACACCCTGTTTTACTAATCAGTTAATTTAAATTAAATTACCATGCTATCTAATCTGCAGATTATCTGATAATTGAGTATTATAAAGTTGTATGTTATGTACTGGCATTTTCTTATTAAGGTCAGATCATGTAGCGTGTAGCTAATTTTAGGTTTAGAGAAACAAGATTCATATGGGCTTTAATTGCTCATTAGTTTAAAGTTATCTGAACGGGAACCGGATATTGTCACTTCTTGAGAGACAGAAGGTTGAGCACACTGCACGATTATAAGAATGTTACATTTAATCTCATTGCTTTCAATAAATTATCCGGGTGTAAACTTTTGAAAATTTAGCTCATTGAATCAAGCTTTTAGAACAAAAATATTTGTTACTAAGCAAAAAGTTTCCACTGATAGTTCTTTAAACAGACATACCATGTAAAAAAATCAGTGACAATGCCACTTTGTAAAGAGATATAATACTCATATACAAAGATAAAAAAAATGCATATATTGTAAAAAAAACAAGTGTTAATTTACAAATTAATATTTTCTTGTTTGGGAAGAAAGTTGTATAAATCAGTCCAGGACACAGAAGCTAGGAACTCTAAAGTGTAAAAGAATAGAAAAATATTTTTCCCATTTGAAATGTCTCTTTAATGCTGCCTTTAAATTTATACAGAACTCTCTACACATAGATAGACGTTCCATGCCTACAATGGGATATATGACCCATACTGTAAGTGCTCCAAGTTTGCATGGGAAATCGGTAAGCATTGGCTGTTGTTTCCTTGTCTATACTAGTAGATTCCAATAAAACTTCTAAAGTTGTCTAAATCTTTATTGACTTTTCATGCCATATTTATGGAATGAAGTAATTTGAACTTCCTGTCACTAATGGTGCTCTTTTTCATTGCTATTGGATTCTTAAGCAGAACTGTAAATAGAATTCCAGTAGAGGGATTGGCCCTATTTTGTGTGTTGTGACATACATTTTTAGCCTTCAAACCAAAATATAAAAATATAACTGCTCAGTCATGTCAGATAAACATTTTTATTGGCATGTTAAGTAAAGATTTTTAACTATGGTGACTCTCCCTGAAAACTGCTAATTTCCTCTTTGCAATGTGTCCAAATACCTGCAGCCTGAAGAGCTAACATTGCTTCTCATTCGATTAAGGAGACATCAGGCTAAGTTGGCTCACATACGAAATTACACAATCGCCCAATTACTACAGCACTTGCCAACCAATTCCACTTATCAGGTCAGCTGCTGATTGGCTCATCTGTGCTGCATATGATGTTCTGTGACTCTGCAAGTGCTTCACTGGTGCCATGCTTGAGTCCGTGCTTCCTTGCCCATTCTTCCGTCTGTTCAAGTCCCTGGATCATTCATAATTTTACTTTGCTCCTGCGTGCAAATAATTATCAGCGTTTTTATACTATAGGGGCTGTGGTATATGAGTAACTGCATTTTGGCTGTTATTTTGCTTTGGTGTTACTTTTGTGAATGCTGCGTTATGTTCTAAAACAAAGCCTATTTAAAAAGTATGTTATTGCTTTTTAGTTTCATCTGTTTTGACTTTAAAAAAAGTAAGGCTTTCTGATAATTTACAGTGGAAACCAGCATTTCTCACATCCTGCTTTTTTCTCTCTATCAATCATGTATTTTAACAATGAAGGAAGATCTAAATATACCAGGATAGTTATATATTGTACTTATCTGAAAAGATGGTGGCCCTGAATTGTAGACAATCCTACCAAAAGCGAGACTGCAAGTTGTCCTTGACTTACCACCATTCATTTAGCTCCCATTCAAAGTTACAGCAGCACTAAAAAACGTGACTTATGGCCAATTGTTGCACTTACAACTGTCACACCATCCCCATGATCACATGACTAATATTCGAGCGCCTGGTAACCGGCATATATTTACAATCCTGACAATGGCTTGGAGTTGCATAGGATTGCCTTTTGCAACCTTTCCAGCCAGCTTCTGACAAAATGGGGGTAGTCAGATTCTCTTAATGAGTGTTACAAAAAATATTGTAAAATTGGGCATGACTCACATAACTGTTTTTTTTTAGCAACAGAAATTCCTGGTCCCAGTAAGGTTATAAATTGAGGACTGCTTGTAGGCATATGCACGCAGGCAAAATCCTGCAGAGTATCCCGCTTATTCACTATGTCAGTCTGGGGTGGCCAGTGCTAGTTGAGGTTAATCTTAGAATTTTCCCATTCCTGTTGCCAATGTATGGACGGGTGTGTTTGTGTATCTGCCAGAAGCCACACACAAAAAATTATTAGCTAAACTAATAACTTCTTATTAGAAATATTTGCATATTTGCCTGTAAGATAACATACCAATTTTTTAAAATTAATTGATTGTCATCCTGCTGTTATCATTCTTTTTTGCTCATATAGACTTTCTCCCTTATAATATTATCTCACCCAGAAATATTCTATCAGAAGCCATGTTCTAAAAAAAAAAAAGCAGGGACAATATTTATTTATTTATCAAAGTTCTATACAGTCCATCTTATCTAGTGACTCTGACATGTTTACAAACAACATAATAAAATAATATTAAAAAGTAACTAAAAATACAAATGAAACCAAAATTAAAAGCAAGGTTAAAATGTGCAAGTTAAGAATAAGAGTCAAGGTTAAAACATTCACCAAGCTAAAAGGTTAATAAGGCAGCGAGCATGCCACCAGCCATCCCCATATTTATCGGATTGTTGTAAACTGCTATGGGTCAGTTTTCCTAGGAGCATTACAATACATAAATATTACAAACAAATATGTATGCATATTAATTGAACTAAAAATTACCTCTACATTTATAAAATATACATTTGCAGAGTGTAAAGTTTATATTTATCTTTGAAAATTATATTTGCAAAATTGAATGATCCACACCTACATACAGAAGTAAAAACCACACATATGCGCATGCATGTACACATACAATCTTCTCTTCCCTTGCAAATGATAGAAAAATTAGGATGGCAATAGAATAGGAGAAGGGAGTTTATTCAGGGAAGAGAAAGGGAAGAGAAGCGAAAATGGTGGAACAAAAGTAAGCAGATGTAAGGCAACTAAAGAGATAACTGGATAGTGAAGGGCAAAAGGAGAAGTTTTATGTTTCACAAATGATTTGAATTCAGTAGAGAAGTGTTCAAATCATTAAAGATACCTGGTGATTACTGATATTTGCATTTTTTCATTTCTCTTCCCAACAATTTAAGAATTTGAAATTCTTGAAACCAAATCAGCAAATGTAGAAT